ATGGCTGCAGAGGAAATGAAAATTTCGAATTCGGATCTGAGGTTCGTGACCATCGGAGATATTGATTCTGTTGATTCTGCGTGAAATAGAGCTTCTCTTTCCGAGTCAGAATCAGTATTTCGATCGTTGAAATTCATATTGCGAGAGGGAGAAATGCTCTCCTTCATGTTCGCAGATACGCCCGGTTGGATATATATGGATTGTTGGTGAGAATCCTAACTGGGAAGTTGATTTTACGATCGACTGTACTGCGGATATCGAGCCTCACGATTTTGGCTATTATATCGTGGGTGAGATGAAAGAAGCTTCATTTCAACGTTGAATAAGGGTTTACTGTGCTAATGGAATCGGGTAGTGGCGAAGTGGGAGGATCGATGTTTTTAATCTGTGGATAGTAATGAAGATTTAGTTTTGATGGTGTATATGCAGGAATCTGCTGTTGTGCTGTCGAATTGCATTCACTTTGAGATTGGAAGAAGTTTCGGTTTTTCCCAATTATCTTGAGGGTATTTTTTTTGGATGCAGTAGTCTTTGTCTAAGTTGGTGTGCTAGAAGCGATGAGTGACCGTTTGGTTCCATGCGAATCAGGATCTGCGCTATTTCTAATGCACTTATGTGAGATGGTGGCCAGCATAGTGAGCAGTGGTTGTATAGGACAGAGTTTTTCTTGAATATACAGATATTACTCATTTCAACTGTTGAGTGATTGGAACTGCGGCGACCTGCGGGTGTGATACGGAATGGTCTTAAAGAGCTTTCTGAGCGATAGCTGAGATTTTGTTTCCAGTAGTAGTTCTGGTGCAGATATTTGAGCGTTTTCATTATATGCCTTTGGCATGGGTATCCTATGACAAATACGAAATATCTATGGCGAAAGCATGACATACGGAGAAATCGTACTGGGTAGAAAAAGCAACATGCTCAAAATTTCTACACTTGCGCTCCTTGTCTTTCTGTTTTTCCATTGCACAACACGGTAGCTTCGGTTGCAGTTTTGTACGCAAAGACGTTACTGGATCTGATTTCTGCAATAGGAGTTTGATTAATTTTCTCTTACTCTGATATTTATTCTCCATTCCAGTCGTTCATTTATAGACTTCATTCTTGCCACTTTAACACGTCAGCCTATAGATTATATCTTCTCATTCACCCTTGCTTTCACTCTGATCCACCATCGAGGTTGATCTCAATCTTTTCAAAGCCTGCATTGCTACTGATTGACTAAATCGATTCCCTGTAGCCACTGCAACACCCATAAATTTTTACCACGTGTGGATAATTCTCTTCGAGCGCTCAGATGGCCTTCGGCCGCCTTCGGCCGCCTTCGCAATCACAATTAACCTCGATACTTTCACCAACGAATTTCCGTTTTTTGACCACTTTTTTTCGACATGACCTTCCTTTCAGTCGAGGGAACAAAAACAATCTCAAACCAGAACATTTGGAAAAGAAACAATGATTTTTAACTATAGATAGTTCAACTTCACAAGCGTCTTAGAAGAACATATTCATACGGTTTATATGGGTGAGTAATGAATAGATCGTGGTATCTTTACGTCTTCAGCTCTCAAACTATGAAGACGCCAAAATCATCTCACTTAGACTCAAAATAAATCATTCAAAGTTGAGACTGCCTGATTCTCAAAGTGCTATAAAAATTATGAACAAATTACGATTCTTGAATCGAACAGTTTAGTTCCTGTCTCGAATATGTTTAAAAAGCTCGCTCAATTTCGATCTGTTCATTTGTCTCCTTATACAAAACAGTTTGTTTTGAGAATGACTTCATTCTTTTTGCAAAACGCAGTTACTTTTACACTGGGGCGAAAAATGTGAGTAATATCAGTTTTCTTGTTATCTCTCCTCTTTTCGCTTGTTTCGTTCTTATCGCCTTTCTTCATTTCATTTAGATTTATGTATAGTATGATGCACTGATATTTGTGCCCAAACATACATGAGTCCTTTTACGAACATAAATTTGAGATTTCAATCAATCTTTTGAAATATTGAATGTTACCTTTATGCGATAGTCGACTAAAAGATGATTTCCTTATTTTTATTTGTAGATATATTAACACCTATCGTCTGTGATTTGAATTGGAATGGCTATAGAATGGAAGATGATTAATCTTGTATTTTCATTATGTGTAGCACTTACTATTGGTCTTTCAATTGGATATTATTTAGGACAAACTATACAAAATCCTTTACTAAATATAACATATTTGAATCTTCACCATACACATCAACGATCTCCATTATTAGGAGTACATGTCAATGTTATTGATCTACATACAAAAATTCTTTCGAATTTCACGTGTATGAAATTGAAAAAATTGCTTGATTCATTTGAAACAAGTGTTTGTATATATGATGTTCGTAGAGATATTTACGTTAGTGGAACTATTGTTAGTCAGAAAATATGGGAAGAAAATTTTGTCACAAAATTTGTAACAATATTAAATAAATATCCAGAATATGGTAAGAACACTTTGTTCACTGAATCAAATGAATAGATTGTTCTCATCTTTTTCTTTCTGTAGCTATGATTGATGTTGGTGCTAATATTGGTGTTTACACGTTGTATGCATTAGCGCTACACCGTCCAACAATCTCAGTAGAATGCTATAAACCAAATATCGAAAGAATTGTTCGCGCTTCACAAATTGAAAATGTTTCAAAACACCTAACATTAATTGGAAATGCAATATATAATCGATCAGGAGAATTTTTTAAATTATCAAAAGATGATATTAATGTTGGCGGACAAGGATTAACAGTGAATGGAACAATGCAACAGGCATCATCAATGGCTGATCAATTTACAGGTATTAGACTATTCTTTTAAAATATCATTTCATTTTAGTTTTTCTTTTCAGTCAGTACTATTCGTTTTGATGATCTATTACCTTTGTTTATTGATCGTCAAATTGAAAACGCAATCATGAAAGTTGATATTCAGTCGTCTGAAAATTTCTTATGTGCATCAGGGGAGAAAATATTTGACTCAATTAATATTCCTTTCATTCTAATGGAATGGGTCGATATTAAATGGATAACAAATCGAGCAGATTTTATTATTGATTTTTTCATTCAACGAAGTTATTTTCCAGTATCTACTTATAATTGCCAAATATTAAATCACACAACAAGTAATTATACAACATGGGGAACTCCACATGATATTTATTGGATTAAATCGAACTACTACCATCTTTGTCGACTTTAATCTAAAATCGATAGTTAACTCTATCTGTTGAAATGTTAAAGAAATGTTTGTACTGATTGAAAGAAAACTGTTCAAATAAATATCGAAATCTGCCTTGAATAGTGAAAATCTAAAGGGATGACGGTGTGTACACATGAGTGTAAATTGCAGCGTGAGTTTTCTGGTGATTTTATTTATCCCTTTCAGGACCGGTGGTACTTGAAAGTGTAATTGAGATTTCATGTGGTCTTATGCGTAGAAATTCGGCTGTTTTTCACGTCTCTTCGAAGTAAATGCTCTGGATATTGTCTTAAACGTTCGTGTTATGATCAGCATCTTCTTTTTCTAACTCTCATTTATAAGGCACGGGTAATGCAAAATTACAGCACTTTTTCTTTTTCTTTTAAATATAGATGTTTACATTCACTTTTTTATGCTGATCACGAAAATCATCTTGTTTTTTTTTTATTTCACAAAGTATTCGTGGCGCAAAACCCAAAATACTGGGGACTCTTCAAAACCTCAGAAAAATTCTGGTTTTCAGAAAGTCATGTTTTTTTTCCTAATCAATTTACTTTTTGATACTATCAATGTCATTTTCGGATTTCTCATGCAAAACTGAGTCTAATTATATTCTTTAAAAAGATTCTTTGATTTAATAAAAACAGAAGAATAGAAATTATTTACAAAAAAAACATATTCTATTATTTTAGAAGTATGGAAAAGATCTTTCAGAATATAAGGTATGGCTAGTTAGTCGAGTTAAATATTCAAATATGTGGCAAATGTATTTACCTTCAGAATTTTGCTATCACAAATGGCGAGTAGTTGAATGTTATCGATCTTTGATCGATATTGATCNTTTTATTACACGAATAGACAGTAAAATATCTGCTCTACAATACTGCATATATCAATCGTGTTTTGGATTTAATTCTGATATCCATTTCGAGAAAGTCTATTAAATAGCGGTTATAACAATTTCTATTAGATCCTTGTATAGTGTTTGAATAAATTCCGGAATATTCCGTGCTGTTTCTTTTCTTTCCTTTTGTATAACGTTTTATGACGTCATGTTCGAGAACATTATATTTCGATAGTATATAAGTGTAAGAATATTTGTTGTCAATTTATTGAATCTTCAAACAAGCTGTCAAACATGGGTGATGAGTTTGATAGATACTATATAAAAATTCGAACGATTCTGGGAATAGATACAAAAACAATTTATGAAGAACTTACAGAAGCGTTGGGATCTGATGCTCCATCAGATCGAACAGTCAGAAGATGGGCACCGCGTTTTCGTGAAGGGAAAGAAGATGTTGACGATGATCCTCGATCTGGCCGTCCAATCTCTGTATTTACAGATGAAAATATTGAACGTGTTCAACATGTTATTGAAGATGACCCTCATTGCACTTATGATGATATCATAGCTGAGACTTCTCTCACTCGTGGTACTATAGAACGAATTATTCATGATGGTCTAAAGATGAGAAAAGTTACATCGCGCTGGGTTGCTCATCAACTTAATGATAATCAAAAACGAGAAAGACTTCGAATTTGTCGACAAAGTTTAGAAAAATTTCGTAATGGAACATGGAAATTATGTGATGTTGTTACTGGTGATGAAACATGAATTTATCACAGACAAATAGGTCGGAAGTCCAGTAACGCTACCTGGGTTAGTGAAAACGAACCCTCAAGAATTATTGTTCGTCGAAACAGATTTGAACCCAGAACATTATTTTGTTTATTTTTTAAATCAACTGGTTCTGTTCTCATACATAGTGTACATAGAGGTCAGACTATTGATCACAACTACTATATTGATAATTGTCTCAAGCCTGTTATCAATGAAGAACGGAATCAAGAAAAATCATCGCGCTCAAAATGCATCAGACTGCTTCATGATAACGGTTCACCTCATAAACATCGGGATGTGATTGATTATCTAACAGAAGAAGGTTTTGAGATAATACCACATCCACCATATTCACCAGATCTTTCGCCGTGTGACTTTTGGCTAAATGATTATATTAAGAACAATTTGAGTAACCAACCAAACGAAGAGTCACTAACTGAGACAGTTTGCGAGGTAGTGTACAATATTCCAGAACAGGAGTTTAGAAAGACCTTCGACAAATTATTAGAAAGGATAAAACTTTGTATAAATAATAATGGTGATTATTTTGAACATTTAATGAAATAAAACTAGAGATATGTCTTTCCTTTTATATTTTTATTTGATGTCATCAGAATTTTTGCTAATCCTGGGTATCATAGACTTTCTCGAAATGGATATCAGAATTAAATCCAAAACACGATTGATATATGCAGTATTGTAGAGCAGATATTTTACTGTCNAAAGGGTTTTAAAGGTCGAGGAATCCAAATCTGATGTTAGTTACTCGAAATTTTTTGTGGATGATTTTTTTTTAGACAAAGGACATTTTTTTCGGAAAAAGTGCTTTTGGTGAAGTTTGACCGAAGGGTTTTCGAAGTCGAGAATTACGAATCTCAAATCAGCTTTTACATATTATATAAACAGAAACTTCAGTGATATTATAGAGGATGATTTCTACGAGAAAGAGCTGAGCGAGTCCACAGACGAGCGTTACTTGTTGTTTAGAATCGGTCCGCGATGTCTTTTATTCAAATGTATACCACGTTATCTTTTCTTTCGCCATTCTTATGGAAAAAAATAGATCAGTTAATCTTAATACAGATGTAACTTTTAGAGCACATCTTTATCTGATTGTTGTTTTTCACCCAACAAATCTTGTTTAAATTTTTTATATTGAAATAAATCTGGATAATTTGTATCGATGACATATATATTAGCACGCAGAATTTCATTTTGATTTAAATTTCTTGTAACATCATTTTTAACTTCATCAATGTAATCTTGTTCACTTTCTTTTATTTTTCGACGTTTCCGATTGTCGTAATCTATTTTCGCTTTATTACGAACGAGAAAAACAGGGACATTCCAATCCATTGCTTCTTTGACGATTTTATGCTCAGCTTCTAGAAATCTTCCGGCTGACAGTATAATGATTGAATCAAAAATATAAATCGATTTATCCTGAAAATATTCATGTGATGGGTTAGCTCGTGTGCCAGCGCCCGGTGTATCCCATAGACGTATTTTGGTATAGTCTGGATGAGTATATTCTGTTAAATACATTGTGGTTTCTACTTCACCGACAGCAGCTGCCTGCTTATCATCATCAGAAATGTCACGAAGCAAATTGATGAGTGATGATTTTCCCGTACCACTATTACCCGTTATTACAAAGTGCTTTTGGAAATTGTCCAAACCGAAATTTGTTCGATCTTCACGTCTTCTTATGTATTTTGGTATACGAACGCGAATGTGATCTCTCCCATATACTTGTGCGGCTGTAACATGTTCTTCATTGTAAAAATGAACGTACCCATTATGATATAAATCAATAGTAATATCCACAGATGGTGTCGACGTTCGTTTAATGTGCATTCTATTCCATGTTGTACGACCCCAATGTTCTTCGCCACCGGGTGGAACTCTATAATATCTACCTTCCTGAAACGGAGCATCGACTTCAACACTTACATCAACTTGAAATGGGGATTTATTATAGAACAAGACGCATTCGCATCTCGAAGTTGATAGCAGTAGTCGAAACAAATAGAAGAATATCAAACGAGATACTGCCATTTGAATCACACACAAATAAGGGTGAAAGTAGCAGAGTCGCTCAAAATGATGTGTATGGAGTTCGTTTCAGTCTATTTAAAAGATCCTTGAAATAAATTTGAAGTTCAGAAATAATGACATAGGATTTATATTGTTATTTATCTCTTCGTGAATGTTGGAATTTTACTCATCATCTAAAAATAACGCAAGTGGGTTTTTTCCGTTTCTTATCAGTCACCGAAGTTAGAAGCTATGTAACACCGCTAGTCGATGCTTTTGTCTACTCTTGAGGATGAAGATAAAGATCTAACTGTAGTAATCATTTTACAGTCACGTCCGATTAAAAGGAGTTTCGTACTATGAAAGGTAATACAGGACAAATAAACTTTTCCGAAGACGTTCGTCGAAGTCAAATAAATTTGAATCCGATTTAACAAGTTTTTTACTAATCTCAAAAAATACTTATAAGTGTCCTTTGAGTATCTACCGGTTATTAACTTTATTTTGTTATTTTCTTTCTGTTTTTTTGTGTATTCATAGGTGAGAGCACTACTTGAAAAGCGTCATTAAATATATGTTGGCGTCCATACTCGGATTTAAGCCAATCTCGGATCGATCTGACATTGGCCTGGCAACAATCAGGCGAATCCGAGTATGGACGGTAACATATACATACACATGCTCCTATATCATAGTGCTTGTGGAAGCACCTGAACTTATAAGTTTTTAAAAATAAAATAAATCCTGCGTAGGTGGAGATAGAAGTACTGTTCATTTCACATACGCATACAGCGAAAATATTGTAGTTTTCGTGTACCTCATGACTTTCTCAATGAGATGTAATATGATCATGTAGATTCGCTGCTATCCACATCATCATATGAAAAACAAAGGGTGTGAGTGGGAGAACCTTATGCTTTCGATTTCGAACTTTATTGCTTTTAACATGTGCAATTTTCGGTATTGATTGGCAAAGCCATCCAGTTTATTCAAAGAGAACGCACATGACATCAAAATGTAAAGTTCAGAATTTTCTAATATTAGGTTGTTAACAAAGTTCTTGCGTTTATTTTTGAGAATGTTCTAGAAGTTTCCATATTAAGGGTGTATATAGGAAGTGTGAATATCTTTCGAATGATAATAAAATCATCGATATGGACACTGATCATGAACTGAAAATGAATCTTTCTCGCAGAGAGATTCGGGTGCTTTTACTTCATGAATTCCGTCTTGGTCACAATGTAACGGAAGCAGCCAGCAACATATGCAGCACGATGGGGGAGGATGTACTCCCTACTCATACGGCACAACATTGGTTCAATCGCTTCAAGAACGGTAACTTAGAACTCGACGATTTACCTCGGTACGGTAGACCATTGGAAGTGGATGTGGATCTCTTAAAGCAGCTTATCGAACAAGATCCTCGATTGACTTTACGGTGCTTAGCAGAGCACCTTGGATGCTCTTATGTTGCAGTGGAAAAACATCTGATCGAATTAGGCAAGACATGGAAATATGGAGTTTGGATACCCCACGAGTAATCACCACATCAGCTACAACACCGGGTTGACGCTTGTATGGATTTAAAGACATCTCACCGCAACAACCAATGGCTCCGCAATCTTATCACTGGTGATGAGAAGTGGGTGTTATATATTAACTACACGCACAGACGCTAATGGCTTAGCGCTGGTCAGACAGGCGTAGCAATACCTAAGCCTGATCTGCATTCCAAGAAGGTGATGCTGAGCGTATGGTGGGGCGTCAATGGGAATATTCACTGAAAAATTCTTCCAAATAGTTGTACCATCACTGTTGATCTCTACTGTCAACAACTGGACTGGGTTACTGAAAAACTCAAGGGAAAGCAGGATCGAATCTACTACTTGCATGACAATGCCCGACCCCATGTTGCAAAGTCAACCTGAGAAAAATTATTGGAGCTTGGTTGGATTACCGTTCCTCATCCACCTTATTCTCCTGACTTGGCACCAACGGACTACCATTTGTTTCGTTCTCTTTCTCATCACCTGCGTGAGAAAAAGTTCGACGACGACACCGACGTGAAAATGGATATCACCAACTTCTTTGGTCAAAAGTCTAAGGTCTTCTACGAACGCGGGATCCTATCTCTGCCAGAGCGTTGGCGACAAGTCATAGATAGTAGTGGTGCATATATATCTGAAAGCTAGTTGTATTGTTGAAGTTAAAAAATAAAAATAAAATCTTCAAAAAAAAAACGCAAAAACTTTGTTAACAACCTAATACATCGATTACTTTTACAAACCTAAGACGCATATTCAATCTCGGAGAACGCTGTGTGCCGGAGGAAAATTTACCTTGACTCTGATATATGAGTATGCATGGAAAAACATTTTGTTTGGAAGTGCGATGCAGTTCGTCCACATTGATACCTTTTACAATGGAAAATTGTCAGTAGGAAATTAAAAAAAAACGTTATTATTGAAAGTTCATTTAATGAGAAAAATGAAATTTATTTAGTATCTCTATCTATCCAATGGCGGATGACGATATGAATTCAAGTTGTCTCTTTTACCCACACTCTACGATAATTTAGTTTATGAAATCAAGTATTATTTAGTAAGTTTGTATCAATACAATTCAACAGTGTTGAGAGTAGTACCGCTGCTATCCGTTCCGCCCGCGACTAACACTGTTCCGCTGCTTAAGACAGTTTCTGTATGATCTTTTCGTCCAATGGTCATATTTGGTGTTGTTGTCCAAGTGCTATTTGTTGGATTATATATTTCTGCACTGTTCAGATAACTGCTACCGCCGCTTCCACCGACAACTAACACTGTTCCATCTAACAAGACGGATGCCGTGTGCCACTGTCTAATCGTATTCATATTTGTTGTTGTTGTCCAAGTACCTGTTAATGCATCATATAATTCAGCACTGTTTTTAGTAGTACCGCTATTATCGACTCCACCTGCAACTAATACTGTTCCATTTGATAAGACAGCCGCTGAATAATATCGTCGACTATAAGTCATACTTCCTGTGAATGTCCAAGTGCCTAGTGAAGGATCGAACAATTCAGCACTGGCTAGAACATTACTACTATTGGTTCCACCTGAAATTAACACCTTCCCATTTAGTAACTTGCATGCGATGTGATCAGTCCGAGGACCATTTGCATTACTTAGTTGTGTCCAAGTACCCGTTATTGAATTATACAATTCAGCACTACTAAGAAAAACATTAATAACACCACCCCATCCGCCTACAACTAACACGGAACCATTTGACAATGTTGTTGCTGTGTGAAATGCTCGTGCAGCATTCATACTTCCAGTCGGTGTCCATGAGTTCGTTGATGGATCAAATAACTCAGCAGTATTCAGGAAGTTACCACCGTTATACCCACCTGCAACTAACACCATACCATTCGGTAAGAGGGACGCTGTATGACTTGATCGTGTGGTGCTCATAGTTCCTGTCGTTGTCCAAATACCTGTCAGTGGGTTATATAATTCACAGCTATTGACCCCTCCACCTGCGACTAGTACCGAACCATTTGTCAAAAGCGATGCTGTGTGAGCACTACGTGCAACATTCATACTTGTTCCCGCTCTCCATACTAAATAATAAACATCAATAAGCAAAAATAATTTAATAGCTCACACAAAGTGTGCAATCCTTGGTTTTACTTCGATGAAAAATTTCAAATATGCCTCTTATTGTTGTACTAAACCTCTGCGTTGAGAATGTTAACACTTTTCAGATGTTCATGAGAAACGAAAGATTTGTTTGTCATTTTTACTTTTATTATGACTGAGGCGTTTCCATCATTAATGAGATCAGTTTATTGAAATGATATGCAAAACATTCGATACACGAACGAGTATTACTACAACCATACACGAGAAGATTGAGTCGTGTGATTGATCCTATATTCAACCTGTAGAAATGCATATCGAACATGATTACATAGTTCATTTCTCTTATTCTAATCGATATATTACTGACAACAAACTACAAATAAATTGTTGCATATTCTTTTCTAACGGGTGTCACAAAAAGAATGGCCCTCTCAGTATTTTGCAAGTACCTCTCTCAAATTGTGACGTAGATAATTTAGTTTTTTTCAAAAGATAGCCCATGAAATTCTCTACAAAACCCTTACGAAGAGAGTTCCCCCAACGAGTAGCTATAGGGTTATATCCGGTCAACACTACAATGTCATAAAATGGATCACTTTCAAATCCACATTTTTATCAAATTAATGACGTCGTTTCTTCTAGCGAAACAGATACCAGACCCAATTCTAATGCAAGCTTCCTATTTTTTTAAGCGTATTCGTTTTAACAAAGCTTAAAAGATGACATTCGGAAACGATTGCAAGTTTCCAGAGACCGACCTTAAACAATAAACGAGTCGAAACCACTGATCGTTCCTCATATACACCTCAAGCGTTGCAGAAAAACACTATAGCACTCTGTGCGCATCAAAATGATAGAGAAAGCATTTTCTCCAACTTTGTAATAAATCTGAATGCATAATAGTTTTCTATTTCACAGAACAAAA